GCCCCGTGTCCCCCACCCCGTGTCCCCCCACATTTCCCCACCCCATGTCCCCCACCCCGTGCCCCCCCTCATGTCCCTCTGCCGTGTCCCCCCCCCGTGTCCTCCAGCCCCGTGTCCCCCACCCAGTGACCCCCCCATGTCCCCCACGCGTGTGTCGTCCCGTCCCCCCCCCCCCCCCCCCCCCCCCGTTGCTCCAGCCGGTGTCCCAGCGCGGTCGGGCAGTGGCCTCTGGCGGTCAGCGCGGGAATGGCCCCACCGGGACCCCCCCGGAACCCCCCCCCGGGACTCCACTGAGACCCCCCGGGACCCTGCCCACTGGGGTACCTCCCAACCGGGAGCCTCATTAACTGGGAGCCCTTTAACTGGGGAGTTTGCTAACTGGGATCCCCAGTAACCGGGCTCTCTGATGAGTACTGGTACTCTCAGGAGGAGCTACGTTAACTGGCGTCCCCACTAATTAGCAGCCTGATAATTAGGATGTTCGGACCCTCTTTAACAGGCAGCCTGCTGACTGGAATTGTGCTGACTGGGACGCCTGTTAACTGGGATCCCTGCTAAATGGGATGCTCGCTAACTGGGACCTCCACTAGCTTGCAGGCTTGCTAACTGGGACCCCGCTGGCTGGGAACCCCCCTGACTGGGATACTCACTACCTGGGATGCTCGCTAACTGGGATAGCTGCTACTGGGGATGCTCGCTAACTGGGATAGCTGCTACTGGGGATGCTCGCTAACTGGGATAGCTGCTACTGGGGATGCTCGCTAACTGGGATAGCTGCTACTGGGGATGCTCAGTAACTGGGATAGCTGCTACTGGGGATGCTCACTAACTGGGATAGCTGCTACTGGGGATGCTCAGTAACTGGGATAGCTGCTACTGGGGATGCTCACTAACTGGGATACCTGCTACTGGGGATGCTCTCTAACTGGGATAGCTGCTACTGGGGATGCTCACTAACTGGGATAGCTGCTACTGGGGATGCTCAGTAACTGGGATAGCTGCTACTGGGGATGCTCACTAACTGGGATAGCTGCTACTGGGGATGCTCGCTAACTGGGATAGCTGCTACTGGGGATGCTCACTAACTGGGATACTCACCAACTGGGCTCCTCACTCACTGGGATCCTGCTAATTGGGATACTCTCTAACTGGGATGCTCACCAGCTGGGATGCCCACTGACTGGGATCCTCACCAACTGGGATCCTCACTCACTGGGATCCTGCTAATTGGGATACTCTCTAACTGGGATGCTCACCAGCTGGGATGCCCACTGACTGGGATCCTCACCAACTGGGATCCTCACTCACTGGGATCCTGCTAATTGGGATACTCTCTAACTGGGATGCTCACCAGCTGGGATGCCCACTGACTGGGATCCTCACCAACTGGGATCCTCACTCACTGGGATCCTGCTAACTGGGATACTCACTAACTGGGAAGCCTGGTAACTGGGATGCCCACCAATTGGGATGCCTCTTAACTGGTACGCTCACTGTCAGTGGTGCTTGCTAACTGGGATCCCCACTAACTGGAGTGCTCTTGGGTCTGGGAAGGTCAGAGATGCTCAGCACTTTGGGTGCCTTCAGGAATCGGTCCCAGAGGCACCGAGCAGCAGACTTTTTGCTGGAAGCAGCTGCTTTGCCACCACCAACATCCCAAAAAGCTCTGGTACGGAGCGGGACCAAAGCAGAGTGAACAGGGGCAGGATTTGTCCTTAGCCACGAACCCCACGAGCCACAGCTCTAAAAAGCAGAAAGAGGGAAGATTATGGAAAAAAAAAAACAAAACAAAAACAAAAACAAAAACAAACCACAACCCCAAACAAATACCAGTTTTCCTTCAAGTGCATGGAAAAGTGCAAAACCTTTAAATATAGACCCTCCTGCTTCAATTCTTGAAGGCTTTTCTATAACCCACTTGTCTGCTGGGGGGGGATCCATCCCAGTCCCAGGGGGCCCCATCCCAGTCCCGGGGGGCCCCATCCGAGTCCTGGGGGGCCCCATCCCAGTCCCAGGGGGACCCATCCCAGTGCCGAGCCACCCAGCTCTGCTGAAGGACTCCCCCACTTCGGGACACAACCTATTTCAGCCCATATCATGCAGCTATGGATGTTATTATTCGCAGAAACTCCTCTGTTGGAGCTCTCAACCTCCAAGAGCTCCTGGGCAAGGAGTTTACCAGGTCAACCACTCTCAAGGTTTAAAAAAATAAGCTCTTTTTCTTTCTTTTTTTTTTCTGCCTTTGCACCCCCAGCAGTGGTGGTGACCTGTGCACGTAGGAGTCCTGCTTGAGAAAATCTCCCTAGAGCTGGGTCAAGTCTATCAAGGGAAGAAGCGGAGCTGCATATCTTAGGATGCTTAAGGGAGGGCGTCGCTCGGCGCCCCAAATCCGGGTGCTGAGGATTTAATAACAAGAAAGGAAAAATTGATTTAATTGCAGGGGGAGGGGAATCTGTGATTCAGATAAAATGATCCCCCGGACCAAGGATCAGGCCTGGATCCTCCTCAGCCACTTGATGGCAGCGGGTGTCCAAACACTTTGGTTTTGTTTGTTTGTTTGTTTTTTTTTTTTTTTTCTCAATAATTTCAACTAAAGTGGTAGAAAATACCCCTTTTCCCTACAAATTGTGGGTATCCGTAGGCCCCCACCCCAGCCCCCTGCACAGGACTGACGCGGCGTACTGACAAGCAGATGCAAAGGGATTTTGTGCTAGAGCAAGAGCCGGGAGGGATGGACGGACAGACAACAGCCAGACAGAGGGATGCTACAGGACAGGGGATGGACGTGAGCAGAGGGGGGGCCCTGGGGTGACTCCTGAGGCTGTTGGGGGCAGGGGGGTGACCCTGGAGTCCCCATTCCTCTGCAGACCGACAATCCACACCCTGCCCAGACAGCCGGGCCCTCGGGCTAATGAGCAGCATTGTTATTAATTAGCTCAGGAGCCGGAGCCCTAGGGGCAATTTTGCCTCAAAATTAGGCAGGAGCCATCCCTGGGTTTACATCCCGGTTCTGGAGCTGGATCTGCTGAAAGGAGACTCTCAGTTTGTGGGCAGCAACACCCCCCCCCCCCCCCCATTCCAGCCCTCCCATGCTCCTTGCACAGCATCACCCCCCTAAATTACTAACACCAGCCCCCCTCATTTCTCCAGGACAGGGTTTTTCCACCTGGCTTGTCCCAAAGCACCGCTGGGTACCAGTATCCCCATTTTGCCCCCGTACCACCTGGATCCCAACCCCGCGGGTGCCCTTAGCATCCCTTCCATCCCCATCTTGGGGCCACCCCACTGCCTGGGGGTGCTGGGAAGGGGTGTTTGCTGAGCTCCATCAAACAGAAAGAGAGGAAAAAGGGAATAAAAAAAGGGAAAACACCTCCTAACCAAACACTCCCGAACCCACGGAGCCCCGGCGGGGGCCTGTTGCCTTTTTATCTCGGCCTTTTCAAGACTGTAATTAAGAACTCATAACGCCAAATCTGCCGCCCTTTCATCTCTGCGCCCCCCCCCCCACCAGGGGCCTTTATTTGCCCCCACCACGGTGGCTGCGGGGTGATGCCCCACCCCGGGATGAGCTGGGATCACCGCCAGCACGGTGCCCACCGTGGGTTTTTTAGGTTTTTTTTTGCTGTAAAAACACCCCCCCCGGGGAACCTTCACCTGCTGGTACCAGGCTCGGACGTGCTCCGGTACCGTAGAACCGGGGGGGGGGGGTCCCCATCCCCAGGGTGGCCACGCAGCTGCTCAGCAGAGGATGCTCCCCGCCGGGACCAAGCCCCGTAATGACTTTCTCAGCACCGGTGGGATATTTTTGGGGGGTGGGGGGGCTTGTTTTTTCCCAGCTTGGTGGGGGGACGGGGTACGTGGAGCTCCACATGCATGTGCTGGGTCCTGGGGAACCTCGTGAAAGCCGAGCTCGGGGGGGGGGGGGGTTGCTGCGGTGCAGATGTGAACCCCCGACTCCCCCGCGCCCCATTTCCTCCCCAATAAACCCCCCGAGCCCCAGTGGAGTCCTTTGACCGGGGCTGGCTCCCCCGCCGCGCCCGGCCCGAGGTGTGACTTTTCCCAGCTCATTAGGAAAAGCCACGGGATTTTAAGGATCTCAGACCCTAATGACCATCTGAATCCCATCAGCCGAGAGGGGTGAGCTGAGGGGGGTGAAGGGACAGCCCCCCCCCTTCCCCCCCCCCCCCCCACCTCTGCCACTGCCTCTCCGAGCATCCCTGGTCCTGTCCCTTCACCTCACTGGTCCCGTGGTGTATTATGCCCCCCCCCCCCCCCCCAAAAAAAAGCAGCTGTGCAGTGGGGTGCATGCTGGTGCGATGAACTCATAGCACCACGGGGGACCCCGAAACCCCCCCAGGGGCTTTGGTGGCCTTGGGGTGACACTAGCTGTCCCGTGGTATCCCCTGGACACCTGGATCCTCCTTGCCTGAGTATTTCAAGGCCAAAGTCACCCTGGGAGGGGGGACAGGGATCTCCACCCTGGGGGAGGACACACGGGGGTCTCCACCCCAGGGGTAGGGAGACTTGGGGGGGTACCCCAGTCGAGGGCAGGGGGACATAAAGGAGGGGGGGAAAAGCCCCATGGAGGTCAGGGGGACATAAAGGAGGGGGGGAAAAGCCCCATGGAGGTCAGGGGGACATGGAGGGTGGGGGGACGCAACCCCATGGAGGGCAGGGGGGCATGGAGGGGGTGAGCGTGACAGCCCAATGCAGGGCAGGGGGACATGGCGGGGGGGTGGGGGGTGAAGACAACGACAGCCCCATGGGGCGCAGGGGGACATAGAGGGGGGGGGATGACAGCACCGGGGGGGGGGGACGGACATGGAGGGGCCACGGGCGATGCCGTCGGTCCCTGCCCGCCCCATCCCGCCCCGTCCCCTCCGCCCACCCGCCCCGGTGTCCTCGGGAGGGACGAGAGTCCCGCGGGGGCCGGTCGGGGCGGTCGTATAAAACCGGGTGACACGTTCCCGAGCAAACCACCCCACCCCCCCCAACCCGCCATGCCCACCCCGGTCCCACCGTCCCCCGGCCAGGGCTTCACCATCGCGGCGCTGCTGGGACACGTCTCCCCCCCCCCTCCTCCTCCTCCTCCTCCTCCGCCGCCGCCGCTTTGGGGACCCCCCTCTTTTGGGGTCCCCCCCGTTGCCGGACCCACCGTTGCCGCCGCCCGGGTCCTGCCGCCGCCGCCCGCCGCCCCCCGCCCGCTCTGCTCCGCCTGTTGCGGGCCCCCCCCCGGCTGGGCCACCCGGTTCGGGGCAACAGGTACCGCTGGACACCCCCCCCTTTCCCTCCCCCCCGAGATCCCCCCATCCGCGGGGACACCCCAAAATGGGGACCTGAACCCCCCCTTGCCCACGGGGACATGCCCAAAGGGTGATCTCCTTCCACCTCCTCAAAGGGTTCCCCTCCAAAGGGGGGGGGGGGGTGGGGGGGGTGGTCTCCAAGGAGGACCTGAAGCCACCTTTCTTACGGGGACACCCCCAAACGGGGACCTTCGTCGACCTCTCCAAGGGGGGGACCCCGCTCAAGGGATCCTCTTCTAGGGGGACTGCTGCCCGCCTGTCCCATGGGGACACCCCCCCAAAATGGGGACCCGAACCCCCCTCTCGCTCACAGGGACAACCCCAAAGGGTGATCTCCTTCCACCTCCTCAAGGGGACCCACTCCGTGTCTCCAACGAGGACCTGAAGCCGTAGGAGACATCTCCAAATTGGGGGGGGAGGACACTGCCTTTCACCTCTCCAACGAGGGAACCCACGCCCACCTCTTCTGGGGGACCCTTCCAAAGGGGATCTCTTCCAGAGGGACCCATGCCCGTCTCTCCTGAGACCCCCCTCAAATGGGGGAGCCTCCTTTCACCGTTCATCCCTTGGCCACCTCAGCAAATGGGGGACTTCTCCCCCAAAGGAACCTCTCCGATGGGGGACCCCTGTCTACCGCTCCCTGGGAGATGGCTCCAAATGGGGGACCTCCTCTGCCTCCCCCCAAAGGAGATCTCTCCAACAAGGACCTTCTTCTGCCCCTCCAAATGGGACCCTCTGGCCTCTCGCAGGGGGACATCTACAAATGGGGGAGCTCCTTCCACCTCTTCAAGGGGACCCCCTCCAAAGGGGTTCTCTCCAAGAGGGACTTGTATCCACCTCTCCAAGGAGATTCTCTGCAAACGGGGGCCCACCACCCACCTCTTCAAATAGGGGATCCCCTCCAAAGACACCCTTTTGCCTCTTTAAAAGGGACACCTCCAGTTGGGAAGATCCCTTCTGCCTCTCCAGGAAATGATATTCCAAGGGGGGACTCCACTCTAAAGGGGATCCCTCCAAGGGTTCCTCTCCACCTCGACCTCCCCTCTCTTGTCTTGCCTCCAGGCTTCCTGATCTCCAAGTGCTGCTACCCCGTCTTCAAAGCCAAGACCAGCAAAGCCAAGCGAGTCCGGACCATCTTCACCAGTGACCAGCTGGACCGGTTGGAGAAGGAGTTTGCACGGCAGCAGTACATGGTGGGCACGGAGAGGTGCCTGCTCGCCTCCTCCCTGCACCTCACTGAAGAGCAGGTGAGCCCCACCACGCTCCAGCACCACTTTACCCCAACCAGCAAGTCCAGGGAGGCCCCAAAACCTGTGTGGCAACGGGTGGGACCCTCAGCCCCAGGGCAGAAGCCGTGTTGGGGGAGTAACTCCAAATAGTTTACGTTAAAAGGGTGGAGGATCGCAGACGGGGAAACTGAGTCACAAAGTGGCTGTCTTAGAGCCACGTTGGAAGGGTTGACATTGTGTCCAGCTTAAGGCTGGATCTTCTCAACCACTGTTAAAAGGGTGGAGGATCGCAGATGGGGAAACTGAGTCACAAAGTGGCTGTCTTAGAGCCACATTGGAGGGGTTGACATTGTGTCCAGCTTAAGGCTGGATCTTCTCAACCACGGGAAGGTCCCAGCTAAGCTCTTGGGTTGCAGGGAACAGTTTTTCATCTCACTGGGGACAGAGTGTGGAAGTCCTGGCCGGCAAGGGAATATCTGAGGCTGCAGGCACCTAAGGGTTTGTTGCCTGAGCCATGGGGGGTTTAGCAGGAGTCCACGGTCCATGGAGAAGCCAGGTTTGAAAGCCAAACTCGACCTCTTCCTAAGGTGAAAGTCTGGTTCCAAAATCGGAGGATCAAGTGGAGGAAACAAAGCCTGGCACAGCAACAAGCCCAAGTGGCCAAAATGGGTTTGACCACCCCGCAGAGGAGCCCCGACTCGCAGAGCCACCCCGGCAAGGAGGACAAGGACTTCCCAGCGGAGTTGGAGGATGGGCGGGAGGACACGACCTCGTCCCCCGGCTCGGGGACAGCACCCGCACAGACTGGCGACGAGGAGCTGCCGAATCGCCCCGTCGGGCTGCTTTTCCGTGCATATCATATGAACGTTTCATAGCAGAGAGCCTGTCTAATATAGACGGGGCACCAGTTCCTATTTTTTTTTTTTTTTTTTGCCGCGGGAAAATAAATTATTTATGCAACTCTCGGGCTCATCTTTCGGGAGGAGGAGGAACGCCACATGCCTGCAGTGGCAGCAAGCGTTCGGTGGGGGCTTGGTGGTGGGAACAAGCCCTGGAGGTCTGGGGGAGTGGGGGGGTTCCCTGCACACACAGCCCCCCCCCCCCCCCAAACAATCAGCCCCATAGCCAGGCTCATCCCAAAGGCGCTGGGTGCTCAGATATCTCCTTGTGCTCTAAAACAGCTCAGGACCTTGACAGAGCCGAGGTCCTTGTAGAGCACTTCCATCCTGTGGTCCACCCATCTCCCATCTCGCAGCTCACGTCCCAACCCAGTGATGGCATCCAGCTCTCCGGGGCTTTTGGAGGCAGGAAAATAGGGAAAAAAAATACCTGGAGAGCAGAGCTGGTGGTGGCTTTGTGAGCTGGGCACCTGGGGTGCCGCCTCAGGTGGGCAAGGATTAGCCAGGTTTTAATTTTAATTGCTCGGCCTTGCTTAGGCAGATGTAGGAGGTTTAAAATCCGGCAGGTTTGGGCCGGCTGCTGGCCTGGGGGTGAGCCAAGGGTGGGCTCCGTGGGGAGCTCCGGGCAAGGATGCAAAGCAAGCGACTACCAGCAAGAGGAAAAGCAGCAACGGGGACATCTGGGTGCTCCCCTGGGCAGCACCAGCTCCTGCTAACTGTATTTTCTCCACGCCTGGGCTTGGGGCTGGAGGAAGAAGGGACCCAGGTGAAGGGTTTATTTGAGCAGGGGTGAAACCTGATGCAAGGAGAGGGGACAGTGCAAGGAGAAAGAAACCAAGAGAGGGGGTGAAAGGAGAAAGGGTTCATGGAGAGGGGGAATGATGCCAGGAGAGGGGGATGGTGCAAGGAGAAGGGGACAATATAAGAAGGGGACGATGCCAGGAGAAGGGGACGCTGCAAGGAAAAGGGGACGAGGCAAAAAGGGGACAGTGCAAGAAGAAGGGGATGGTGCCAGGAGAAGGGGGACGATGTGACGGGAAGCTGCCCTTTGTTCCGGCTGTTTTCAGAGCCGGGATTAGCCAGCCCCAAACTGTGCTAATGTCTTCCCCTGTCTGCCGAGAGCCCAGGCTGCGCCGGTGGGTTTAACCTGCTAATCTCGCATGCCGCTGGGTTTATTGCAATCATCCCCGAGACAACAGGGCTTACGGCGGGGGGGGGGGGGGGGGGGATGTTTTAATATCGCCCAGCCGGGGGGGATGAGCTGATTGCGAGAGTTAAGTTGTTCTCAGGACACCTTTAATCCCCTGGGAGCTGGCGGTGCTCAGCCTCAGGCAGAATTGGGCCTTTTCCACTATGGCAGGCTCCTCGGGGGTCCTGTCCCCGCTCCCGGGGATGCTCTGTGGGTGCACAGGGGCTCGGGATGCCTGTGTCCCCTTTCCTACCTGCCAGGGGCCAGCCAGGGGCCGGGGAAGACCATCCCCTGTCTTCCAGCCAGTGAATAACCTGTTTTCAGGTTCCTTAGGGTGGGGAAGGGACGGTATCTGCAGGACAAAGCAGCTGGTTACTGCTCCAGTGGGGGTGAGAAGAGCCAAACATCTGACCCGGGTAATGGGATGGAGTTGCTGGTTTGCAGGAAAAGCTGGATTCAGCTGGGTCATTTTATACCCTGCCAAGCCCCTGCCAGCTCTGGCGTCCTGGAAATGGGGTAGGAATGCAGTTTCCTTCTCCCTTCGGAGACATCTCCCTCCCCAGTCCAGGGAGGAGGTCTTGCAGCTCAGCCCAACTCCTGGCAGCTCGACCGGGGCACATGGATTGGGATCAAACCTGGGGACAGTGATTTGGCACGGTGGAAAACAAGGGAGAGAGGTGCACCAAGAGTTTGGCAAGGTCCTGGGCTGGATCAACCCATCTGGGACAGAGCCTTGGCTCCTCTCATCCCCCAGGAAAGCCTGCGTAGAATAAGAGTTGTGTCCTTCACCAAACCCCACACGCGTCCCCAAAACCCTGCTAGTCCCTTCCCAATCCCGCCTATCACGTTGTTCTCTTAAAGATGCTGGTTTTTTCACCTGTCTGCAAAAAAAACAAGTTGGCTTTCAGCGACAGATAATTATAAGGAAGTGAGAATTAAGCAGCTTTATTAAGAGGATGAAGGTTATCTGCTAAAGATGCAGTGCTGAGCCCTGCCCCGGCAAATCTCAGCTCTGTAGATAAGTAGGTGGCTGGTAGGACGGGTAGGTTGTGAGATGGGTGGGTGGATGTATTAGGGTGAACAGAGGAACAGCTAGTCTGCATGAGGATAAGATGGATGGCTGGATGATTGGGGATGAATCCAGGACCCTGGGGAATAGGTGCAAATGGGTGGCCGGGTAAATGGGATGGGATTGGAGATGGATGGAGAGAGAGGAGAAGGGAGAACCCCGGGTGGAGCTGCAGCCTAGAGCTCCTCCGTGTCCCCTTCCCCGCTTCCAGCCAGGATTATTCCTGCTGAGCACGTGGCGACGGGTGTGATTTATCTGCACCAGTCAGGACGGCAGAAGTTTGCGGGATGGGGCATTTGGATGCTGGAGCAGCAGGACACACACACACACCCCCCCCAGCCCCAAAATCCACACAACCCACCTGCTTTCCCAGGCGCCTTCTGCATCCCATCCCCAAGCTGGGAGCCCCATTTTTCTCGGCTGATTGCCCCCTTGCTCTTTCTTTTTTTTTTTTTTTTTGGGGGGGGGGCGGGGGGGGTGTTGCTAAATGGGATTAACGTGTGTTGAGGACGGGGGCTGGGGTGCTGGGGAGGGTGACCTGCCGATGGCAGAGGTTCAAGGCAAAGCCCGACCCGAGGTGGGACGCGGGGCGCCAGGGTCGGCTGTGCATGTTTCCAGGCTCCATCTCATCGTGTAATCTTGTTAAATGGTCAGGGAGCATTTCCCCCTGCTTCTCCCTCCCCTTTAATTCCCGATTGAAACATCAAATAAGTTTCCCGAGGCTGCCGGGCAGCTCTGACGGCCGCCTGGTTTCAGGGGAAATAAACAAAACGAAAAAAAAAAGACATCACAAGCAATGGGAGGAAACACCAGGACATCCCATCTTTTGTAGTCTTTCTGGAATGAATTTGCCCCAATCTGCCTTGCTCAGCCAAAGAGCAAAGGCACCGATTCATTGCGTTAAATTCTCAGCTGGAAGTAGCTTGTGGGTGCTTGAAAATAAGGGTGAAATGGGGTGACCCACCTGGAAATGCAGCGAGGAAACCGAGTGACTAGGAGACCCCTCATATGGGGTGGCCCAAAATCTCTGGGTTTAAAAATCATGGGTTTAAGAGGTATTTATCTTGCAATAAGAATCGCAGGGCTGTGGAGCAGGACCGTGCTCCGAGCACTGTCGGAGGGAGAGCAAGCAGCCCTGTGCAGCCTAAATCCTGCGAAGGGCTGTGCGGGGAAGTTTGGGGTCTGGGAAGGGAAAAACATCAGCCTGGTCTGCGTTTGCCACGGGGCCCGTCAGCTCTTAAATTGCTGCTGGTGCTCACCCACCCCCCTCCCGGCTCCCCTGCTCCCTGCTCCTTCCTCACCTCCCATCCCAGTCGCAACAACTGAAAGAACTGGGGGGGAAAATCCCTCCCCGGCTCTGCTCCCAGCCACGCACACGGCAGGGCCTGCCAGAAACCAGTTTGCTTCATTTTGGTGAGACGAACAGTTCGGGAAAAGAGAACAAATAATGAAAATGGCACCATCTTCCCCTTTAGAAAGGGTTGGTGGCACTAAATCCCTTGGCCTTGTGGCACAGTTGGGCTGGGCTTTCACTGGGGGTGTACTGGGGGCTCTGACATCAGACACCCTCTGCAACGGTGTGATTTTATATTAAAAAGTTGACTAAATCATTATATCAAGGAAGCCCTGACAGAACGGGATGAATAAGGGGATCTCGCCAGGAGGTGCAGGGCCGGCAGTCAGATAAAGTGCCCCCCAGCTCTGCTAAAACCTCCTCCTGGGACTTCGGCCGTGATGCTCTCGTGCCTCAGTTTCCCCAGCTGCAGGAGGTGGGGAAATGCAGCCTTGGACACATGTGGTATCAGCTCATGCAGGCTGGGTCTGATCCCACTCCGCACCCCTGCTGAGACCCGAGCCGGATCCGACCCTCCCTCTGCTCTTCCCCATCCTTCCCCCACTCCATCTCTATTGATTTAATAAGATGGAGAGGAATTAACGGGGCCGGAGCATTGGAATAATGAAAGATGAACAAAGGGGCAGCATTAGCAAAGATGCTGCCAGCTTTTAATGATGAGGCCAGGCAGATCCCCTGCTAGCTGTCCCTTTGGAGTGGCGATTAAGAACATACTGTTATTGTTAAGGCAGAGAGATAAATCCCTGCACCGTTTCTGATGTGATCAGCCGGGGCTTCTCCCTACAATTTGTGATCCTATTGTGGACGGTGTTTGCCCTGGGCAAGGAGAGTCTGGGAACCACTTATGAACCATCCTTTGGTCATTAGTCTCCTCATTAGGAGAGAACAATGTGGGAGAAAAAAAGATAATTGAAGGGAGCAGCGGGCTGATCCTGCTCCTGCGCTCAGGCCTGTACCAGGGCTACCTCAACACTTAGTTTGTTTAGAATTCCCAATTAATTTTGAATGTATGGTTAATACCCACAGTTGCAACCCCTGTGAAGAAGGTGTTGAGGTCTGTGCTTGATGGGAGGGCTACGGAGCGTCCTCGGAGGCCTTGCGGGAGGGTATTAGCTTATTTTTGGGGGGTCACCTGGGTCCCCATCGTGGACTTAACCCACGCTGTATTTGGAGGGACCCCAGGCAAGGCGGCCGGGTCCTCAGCACCCGGGAAAGGGCGAGGGTGGTGGAATGCAGCTGCTCCCTCGTTTCACATCTGGTTATGAAGCCAGATGCGACGCCCGAGGGGTGTGATTCCTGGGGGCACAGCCCCGCTTGGATCAGGGACAACATCTCCCCACCGAAAGGCTGGGGCAGAATCCTGA